CAAAACAGCAGGCAGGTACTGGGTTATATTAATATTCAGACATCTCAATTTTTATTTTATTATACTTTATTTATGAAATACTGATGTTTTGAGTTCAGTGGAATTAACTCATCAAATGCTCACCTGGTACCCAAACAGGAAACTCAAGATGCCTAGGTATTAAAAGCTCTAATTCCAAAGGGGGCTTTAATGTAAAAGAGATAAGAAGGTTAGCCAGAAGCTGAAATGATTAGGTAAGCAAGTTAGTTGTTGCTTTGTAGCTACAAATAAAATTTGGTGAGTTCGTTAAAAATATGTTTCCGGCCAGGCATGGTGGCTCACACCTGTAATCCTAGCACTTTGGGAGGCCGAGGCGGGAGGATCACAAGGTCAGGAGTTCAAGACCAGCCTGGCCAATATGGTGAAACCCTGTCTCTACTGAAAATACAAAAATTAGCTGGGTGTGGTGGCGCGTGCCTGTAGTCCCAGCTACTCAGGAGGCTGAGGCAGAAGAATCGCTTGAACCCAGGAGGCAGAGGTTGCAGTAAGCCAAGATCGCGCTACTGTGCTGCAGCCTGGGCAACAGAGTGAGACTCTGTCTCAAAAAAAAAAAAAAAGATGTTTCCTCGTTGGGAAAGCTGTTTTGGAAAAAGGTGAATCTGAAAAAAAAAAACATTTGAAAAAATCCTCGAGAAAATTTATGCCTACGCAAAAGCCTGCATGCCCATAGATGTTTACGGAAGCTTTATTCATAATTGTGAAAACTTGGAAAAACCAAGATACCCTTCAGTAGGTGCATATAGATTAGTAAACTGTGATCCATCCAAACAATGGACTGTTATCAAGCACTACAAAGAAATGAGCTATGAAACCTTGAAAAGATGTGGAGGAACCTTAAATGCATATGACTAAGTGAAAGATGGCAATCTGGAAGGCTGCATACTTTATGACTCCAACTGCATGATAGTCTGGAAAAGGCAAGTCTGTGAGACAATAAAAATGCTAGGGGTTGGGGGCTGGCAAAGAGGGATGAAGCTACTTTGTGTGATACCATAATGGGTGGACACATGTCATTATACATTTGTCCAAACCCACAGAATGAACACCCAAGAGTGAACCCTCATGTAAACTATGAACTTTGGGTGTAACAAATGTATAGGTTGGTGCAAAAGTAATTGCAGTTTTTGCCATCAACCTATACCACTCTGGTGAGGATGTGGATAATGGGGTAAAGCTATGCATATGTGGGGGCAGGGGGATATCAGAAATCTCTGTATCTTCCTCTCCATTCTTCTGTGAACCTAAAATGCTCTAAAAAATAACATGTATATATTTATTTATAAGTATGCAAATATGCTTATATATAAGCACACATTTATATATCAACATAAAAATATATATTTATATGTAAACTACATACACACCCTTCATTGGGAACATGGAATGAGGGCCATTGTCTCAGGCATGGGAGGGGATTATCAACTAGCTAGCCATGGAATAGAAAATCTATGGAAATTTACACCAATGCAGCAGAAAGGATATTAGAACAGAAATAAAGGAAAGAGTACAAGGAGAGTGCAGAAAGGTTGTAGATGACCAAATTCCCATGGCACTTTTAATAGGAGCTTTTGGAAGCTATCCAGAAAGGAAATGATATGTGTTATCCATAATAGATTATGGACAGCTCTGTAGATATTTTAGTTGTGGAGAGAATTTACAAAAAAATAGGGCACACAGGTTAGGCAAGCATTATGAAAGTTAAAAAAAGAAACAGTTTCTTAATGTCACTGCCTATATGTTAAAATTTAAGTAGAAAGAATAGCTGATTGTTTAACAGAATGTCACAGGTGTGTTTGCTACTAGAGCCCACAATTGATTCTAACCTGACAACAGGAATCAAATCACAAGGCCGGATCAAAAAAATTAAAAACAAGTATCACTTTCAGAGTTCAGCTATGAACTTTGCCAGTAATTCTTCATTGTCGCATTGTGTCTTAGCTGGAGGGTAGAATGACTGTAACTTATAAGGCCAAGGGACAGCGAAAGTGTTAAAGGTCACTACTTTGGTTGCGGGAGGTCTCTCCAGGAGATATGTGATGAGTTAATCTCATAATTGAGTTAAAGGACCATTTTGTTACTGTCAAGTTGAAATTTTCTTTTTAAAAGGTACCCAAAACATGAGTTTGTGATAAAGTGGAACTTCATTTGTGAAACTTCATTGTGAAACCAGCCTGTTTAGTAATTGTCTTTTGGATTCTCATTGTTCATTATCCTCCCTTAGGGCTGGGTGAGGTGGCTCATTCCTGTAAACCCAGCACTTTAAGAGGCTGAGGTGGGAGGATTGCTTGAGCCCAAAAGTTCAAGACCAGCCGGGGTAACATAGGGAGACCCCCATCTCTACAAAAAATAAAAAATTAGCCAGGCGTGGTGGCATGCGTCTGTCGTCCCAGTTACTTGGGAGACTCGAGATGGTAGGATCACTTGAGCCTGGGAGGTCAAGGCTGGAACTGAGATAGCACCACACTGCACTCCAGCCTGGGAGACGGAGTAAGACCCTGTCTCAAAAATTAAAATAATAATAATAATAATAATCCTTTCTTGGCATCAAATAAGAGGCATTATCGTTCATATAGAACAGCCTTAGTTTCTATTGCAATGTTAGCATTAAATAATTAGAATATCTTCTTGAAGATAATAAGACATTTCCTCTTAATATTTCAACAAATGTTATCATATATTTTTGTCTCTATATTGATTTAGTCTTTCTTCTGAAAATGTTTTATGATAAATGAAAGTGTGTGATAGCTCTTATTCATTTACTAGAGAGTTTTAGAAGTATAAAATCTGTATATATGTTCCATTACAGAAAATCAGCTGCTACTTTTAGTTGTAATTCAGAAACAGTACTCTGTTCCCACCTCCCAAGCTTTTTTTTGTTTGTTTGTTTGTTTGTTTGTTTTGAGACGGAGTTTTGTCTTTGTCATCCAGGCTGGAGAGCAATAGCGAGATCTCAGCTCACTGCAACCCCCACCTCCCGGGTTCAAGCGATTCTCCTGCCTCAGCCTCCCCAGTAGCTGGAAATGATTGCAAATGTGCACCACCATGCCTGGCTAATTTTTGTATTTTTAGTAGAGACGGGGTTTCACCACCTTGACCAGGCTGGTCTCGAGCTCCTGACCTCAGGTGATCTGCCCACCTTGGCCTCTCAAAGTGCTGGGATTACAGGCATGAGCCACTTCACCTGGCCCTCCATCCCCCAAGTTTTTAACAGGGTCATGTTCTTGCTCCTAGCATCTCAAGTTTATGCTTTTAAAAATATATATTTGTGACAGGCCATAGATCCAGGCTTTAGTTAAAAAGCAGCCTAGATAGAATTCAGTAGATTTGGGTGCTTGGCTATGTACATTAGCATTAAATAATGAAACTAATTTTTAGGAATAAATTGAAATATCAGAATTAATTTTTACCTTTTTTTCTTCCATCTCCATTCCTACCTCCACTCCCTATATAGAAACAAGCTGAAATTTAAATAGAACAATTACCAACTTAATTTCTTTTAAATCCTTTCATTTGGTTTTAAAATTGTAGGAAAATTATAAAATTTAGAGTTTATCCAGACTTCAAGTTTTGGATATGGATTAATTAAAGCTGTTGGCAATAGAGAATAGTCTCCTCTTTTCATTACATGAGTTCATCACTATGAGACTATTTCAAAAAAGCAGCATTTTAAAACATTGAAGACCTTAAGTTCCTTTCTAAAGAGTTGTTAATATGTAGCTGTTGGATTGATGGGACCCCATGTTAGCTCTGGTTCTCAGAGTGTTCAGTGGAACTAGGTGCAGTCCTTGCAGGCATCCTGGAAGGCCTGCCCCTGCCCCAAGTCATCGGAGAACCTATGTTTATCCATTTTTCCTTAGCCTTTGAGAGTCATGGTTCTGTGGGGTCAAAATTAAGACTGCTGTTTCCTAAAGGAATGTTTGTAGTTCTGAGTCACTTTAAAATTCCTGTTCTAAATCCTGATTTATAGAGGGCGGGACTATCGTAGAGAACTACCAGCCAGGTTCCCCTATCCATTCCTTAGATGAGGAAGACCTGTTGAGGGTTCTTCAGTCATTCTTCTCAAGGTGGGTGCAGATGGCATATGAGGTTTGGACACTTAAAAGTGTTACATGATGATTCTTATTTTATAACTTATAGTTTAGAACTAGGTCCATATGTGTACTCAGTAAGGATTTGTAGTGTAGATAACTCAACTTACATGTTGAAACTCTTCCAAAACAGAAATGTAATTCCTTCAAGACAGAGAAATCCCAGTGCCATTCCCCCTCATGTGTTATTTGTGGCTACCAATTTGGAAGACAGTTCATCTGACAAAAATTTTAGTACCTTCACAAATTCTTTTTTGAGAAATATCTTGGGTGCCCATTTTAGTTTCAAAAGTAGATTTTGACACACTTCAAAATTCAGAGGAAAGTAACCCAGCATTTAGTGAGTGCCTACTGTGCCCTGGGCTTTTGATGTTTTTCATCATATGTAAGTTCAGTGAAATGTTCTTCTTCCCTCTGAGAATATTTCGCCAAACCTGAAATTAAACCCATTAGCCTGTCTCTACATGTAGGCATAAGCGTGGCACTTTTCTTATGAGTCACATAGGAAAATATTACTGTCAATTACATACTTTCAAAAGTAACAAAACACTACACAAATGAAGAAAAATTTTCACATTTATTGGGGCAGAAATGTGAAGATTGTCATAATGAGTTGCTATTACATAATGGTATAAAGAAAATTACCTTGGATGGGGATTTGCAAATTAGAAGGACCTAGTTAAATATGAGAAATATTTTCTTTTCCTACTTTCAAACTTTTCCTTTTCGAATATTGATGAACATACTGATTGATATATCCTCTGATTCAAATACCTTGCCTATTTGAAAGCAAGTCAATTAGCTCTGTTATTGAATAAGTTTAAACCATCTATGAAAACAGTAAATTTAGTAACGGCCTTCTTTTACCTTCAGGTCGTCTAAACTATTCATATCCAGGATCCGATAGCTCTCTGCTTATTAATGGTAAGTGATAATCGATTTACCCTAGTGAAGTGCACAAAGCTGATACAGTAGTTGTGCTTCAGCAGTGGAGAAATGACATTAGTTTGTTCCGTAATGATAACTGTAAGTTGCTATTAAACTATCAGCTATTTTAAGAATAATTCTTTTACCTCAAAATTGTGGCAGAAACTTTTCTTTTTAATTTGAGGGCCAACTGATTCCCTGTCCTGAACTTGGTGACAATCAGAATAAATGAAAATCCCATAATGATACCTAAAGACTGGCTTTGTCTAATGTTAGCTTCTGTAGAGTGTCCTTTGAAATGTTAACATAAAAGCCATTTCCACGTGGCTGGAAAAATGTTCCAAGAGGAAAGGATAAGCAGAGATCTAAAACCAGAAAAAGGCAGCCTAAAACCACAGTACTTGACATTGCATAGGACAAGGTCATTTGCTGTTTGCTGTCTAACAAAAACAAGAAAAATGAAGTTTTGTTGGCTTTCCATTGCCTTCATTAGATTCTCCTTTCCTGTGCTACTGTTCTGTTGAGTTCTCTTTTTACGTGCATAGTGAAGCAAGCTAAGTTTCACCAGGAGGAGGGAACATCCACTCACAAGAATTTTAGTGTCTGTTTTTTTAGTATCATGGTCTAAAACAGTTGGATGAAATACAGAGGTCTTGTTTACTTACTTTCTACTAATTTACTTTGGAATGTGGATTTCAAATTTCTGTGTGTAGAAAATGCCTTCCATTTGTCAAAGCTCATTTTAAGTTCCACAACCCCTAACAAGTGTTATGGACTAAATAGCTATATTCTCATCATTCCCAAAACAAATAAAAATAAAAATTCTTCCATTCCTTGATTTTAGTATGTTGTGAATAAGGAGTTAAAAAATATTTTTATCACTGGATCTCCTTTTTGACTAGTGTTTGAAATCAATATGTTGTAGAACTTAGAAATTGCTGGGTACATCAGATCTTCTGGAGACTAAATAGCTTATAAAATCTTACTTGGTCATCAGATGTAGGTCTTTTCATGCTACAGTGCCAGAAATAATACCATAATATAGTGTTCTAGCATAAATGTATTAGGCCAAAAACCAAACCCAGTGGCGACAGTGGCATCAGGATAAGGAGAACATAAGGGATATATATACATGTAGAAGAGTTTACCTTTTCCTTTGGAACTAGTTCGAGTCAGTTCCAGGTACTGGAAATTGTAGTGAAACAAGATTTGGGGTATTGCTGTGTCATCTTAGGCAAAGTGATCAACTCTTCTTTGTCCCCGTTTCCTTATGAAGGTGTTCCTGTTGGATTAGTTGCCTCTGGGGCCCATCTTTGTTGAGGGTTGTCAAGAAAAATAAGCTCTCTCTAGTGGGTTTTCCTTAAAGCTGAATTCACTTAACTAGGAAAAAAAGTCAGCACTTTGAGAGGTTGAAGCAGGAGGATTCCTTGAGCCCAGGAATTCAAGAGCAGCCTGGGCAACATGGGGAAACCTTGTCTCTACAAATGATTTTTAAAAACTCACGAGGTGTGTTGGCACATGCTTGTAGTCCCAACTACTTGGGAGGCTGAGGTGGGAGGATTGCTTGGGATGGGGAGGTCAAGGGTGCAGTGAGCCATGATTGCACCACTGCAAAAAAAACAGAGTGACAGAGTGACACCCTGTCTCAAAAAAAGAAAAAAAGTATACTATTATGAGATTGCCTTTCCTTTTTTCTTTATTACTATCCTTTCTTTCTTAAATAGATTATTTTTAGTGATCTTGTCAATGAAAAAATAAAAGTAACTTTTTCCCAGAATATTTATGTTTTCAAATTTTACTGGTCTATGAACTCTAAGAGAAAACTAAATAGTTTTTAATGTTGCATACATGGAAATTTTGTTTATTATAAAGACATACTGACTTGGGTTAACATTGCCTCAAACTGAAAGACATGAAGATAAAGGACAAAGAGAGATGTCTTTCTTTTAAGAAACATCTCTTGCTGGCTCCTTAAGCAAGACCCAGGAGCGTGGGGCTACGATTGCCATGGTCTCGGGTCTGGTATTGAGCTTCGTGAGGCCCCAAAACTTGATTTTGTCAGATTTGATGAAGGATTAGTTTTTTAGTAACCAACCAGTTAGGACCAGATGCCAATTTATTCATTTATAATGAAGCATAAAACTTCCAGGTAGACCAGATACCGGGGATGACTGCTCGACTGACGTATTCTCTCTGCAGTAGCAATGTCCGGGTAGAGCAGAAGATTGCTTGAAAGTCATGAAATTAGATCTAGGTAGGGAGGAGAGGTGTTGAGACAATTTTTTAGTGACCTTGATCAAGATATGCACATTGTCCATTCTGTCAGTCATGTTTGTAAAATATCTTCTAGAGTGGATCACATCTGTAGACAAATTAATCTCATTGATGTATTCATTCTTAGTAGTTTTGCTCTCACTTTAGCTCAGGTTTTGGGGGTACCTGTATTGCAAATCTGGCATAATGAATCATGCTTAGTTAAGATTAATTAAAGAATTACAAATACTACCCATCACATTTTGTTGTGGTGAAGATGTGTGGAAGTCACTTAGCATAGCACCTGGCACATAGTAAGTCAAAATAAGAGAATTAGAATAAGCAATATTTTTGGTTAGGAATTAATCTCATTCGTGTGTTGATTCTTAATAGCTGAAAATATATAAGAAAAAAATATAGAACAAAGGATTAATATGAGTTTGTAAAAACTGTTGAAAGTTGAACATGCTTTCGTTGTCTGTCATTAAGGTACATAATCTAAAACTATGCACTTTCAAATGCATTCCCTTCATGTCTTGTGTCCATACAGCCTTTTCTTAGAACTGAAAATAAAAGCCTAATTTATTTATTATGTCACTTTATAGTCATTGTTTAATTTTAAGACTGAAAGGTGCTGTAAGGAGCAGTTCTTCCTTGTCCACCATTATCTATTCAGGCTTCTAAAAACCTTTAATAAGGTGATTATATAGCCACTCTGCTTTGTTTCAATGGTAACTTTCAGAGCTTTTTCTTCCAAGTATCTGTTGAAAGCCCTTTCTTGTTTTGTTTCGATAAAAATGTAGAGCAGCTGTTTATTCTCTTTCTCACATGAATGTTTGAATTTTGACTATCTGATTTTTATTTTATGCTTTATTTTGAAATTTTCGAGCAACCTCAATGCTTTTAGAAAGAGGTTTAAATCCTCAATAAATAAAAAGAAAATCCCCTAACCAGCCTCTTATTGGAAAAATAATAACAATAATTAAAAGAAAAAAAGTCAGAGTCACCAACCAGTTTTCAGTGGCTTATATTGGACTAAGGTTGTAATTTGCCTTTTTTTTGATAAATAGGTTGTATTCATCCATGGATCAAATTATTTTTTTGCCCTGCTCGATCATCAATTTCCTACAGTTTCATACAGTGACTTTCATGTACCACTCATGTTAAAAGGCAATGCCAATATAATTCAACAATGATTGGTAGTTGTGTTAAGAATGTTACAGTTCACACTCTAGGGAATTTCTCAATTTATTGCTGTGTTAATAGTTGTAGAGATTTTTTTGAGGGGCTATCTTGGGGAGAGTTCTTGGATTTTCAGTGTATTTTTAAAACCAAACTCCCTAAAGCTAATTTTTGGGTGCTGCATTAGTTTGCTAGGGCTGCTATAATAAGTACTGCTGACTACTGGCTTAAACAGAAATTTATTTCATCACAGTTCTGGAGGCTAAAGTACAAAGCAAGGTGTCATCAGGGTTCATTTCTTCTGAGGCATCTCTCTGTGGCTTATAGATAGCTGTGTCACCACATGGTTTTCCCTCTGTGCACGTCCATGTCCTAAGCTCTCCTTATAAAGACACCAGTCATATTGGATTAGGGCCCACCCCACTGACCTCATTTAACCTTAATTACCTTTGTAAAGACCCTGTCTCCAGATATAGTCACATTCTGAGGTACTGGAGGTTAGGACTTCAACAGATGAATTTGGACAGGAGGGTGGGGGTAGAGGGTGACCACACAATTCCGCCCGTAATAGATGCCTTTTACTAGTAAATTTCATGTAGTAGGGATACAGTTAAAATGCCCATTTTATGGTTATGAGAAGCAAGCCTAAAACTTAATTTCCCAGTTAAGTGACAAGAAGTGCTAAACATAGGCCAGTTACCCCAAATTCCTCTGGAGTATCTTGGCTTAGCTCTGAGATAGACATTGGATTAAAAGATTAATTTTCCTCTAACCCAGCTTGAAGTTTTATTTTACCCAAGAAACCACCACCACCTCTGTATAGAAATGCTTGTGCATTATACTTTTTTTTTTCTCTAACCTTTCATTCCACTGCTCTAGCCCTCAGGATTAGCAAAAAAAAAAATGAACCTTGTGGTAGGAGAAAGTTATAGAGCAAAAAAAACCTGTTAAGTTTTAACAACTCATGTATTTTCTTTCCTTTGAGGAAGAGATTAATAAGGGATCTATTAAGGGTAACACAGAACAACACTTCTTCCTTCCCTTCCCTTCCCTTCCCTTTTCCCTTCCCTTCTCCCTTCCCTTCTCCCTTCCCTTCTCCCTTCCCTTCTCCCTTCCCTTCCCTTCCCTTCCCTTCCCTTTTTCCTTTCCTTCCCTTCCCTTCCCTTCCCTTCCCTTCCCTTTTTCCTTTCCTTTCCTTTCCGTCTGCTCTGTCATCCAGGCTGGAGTGCAGTGGCTCCATCTCGGCTCACTGTAGCCTCCACCTCCCAGATTCAAGCGATTCTCCTGCCTCACCTTCCCAAGTAGCTGAGATTACAGGCACCTGCCACCATGCCCAGCTAATTTTAGTATTTTTAGCAGAGATGGGGTTTCACTATATTGGCCAGGCTGGTCTCGAACTCCTGACCTCAAGTGATCGGCCTGCCTCGGCCTCCCAAAGTGCTGGGATTACAGGCGTGAGCCACCGCACCTGGCCGAACATCTCTTAATTATAGTTTTTTGGAATGAAAGGAAGAAGATTGTTTGCTTGGGAGGGGGAAGAAATCTATCAAAAAGGAAGGTAT